ACCACCACCACAACCACAACAACCACAACAACCACAACCACAACAACAACAACAACAGCAACAGCAACAGCAACAGCAACAGCAACGGCAACAGCAACAGCAACAGCAACAGCAACAACAACAGCTACAACAACAGCCACAACAGCTACAACAACTACAAAAACTACAGCACCAGCACCACTGCCACCAATAGCGCCACCGCCAACGAGCAGTCCTGCTACTGGTGCTGCTCCAGGTGTTAGAGTTGCAAGCCAGGCAACATATGCAAAACGGCCCAAACCGACCGCAGCCAAAGCTTTGCCACCTCGGGGAAGTAGTGAATGCACCACGTTCCTTGCACCCATGTACTCATGTGCATGTCCCCGAGTTTTCCCCTCTTGAATGCTTGGACCAGTTGGATTCGTGGCCACAGACGTCGCAAGGGCGTCGAGTGATGTCTGTGCGCCCTGCCGCAGTGGACGTCAACGTCTCGAATGGCCCCCATGATGCCCCTGGCAGCTTCACTTGACCACACCGTCTCCGTCTCCCCCTATTATTTTCTCGCTCTAGACATAATATGGTTTGTAGCTGTTATACATGACATGCATGTCAATGCGAAGCTGCAGGGAGTGTTCTGTCTACGCTCCGAGGAGCATTGCAAGACTTGTCACGTGATCCCCATTCAACAGCATGCTACAGGTAGATTGCGCGGTCAAGACCGCGGCCCTTAAACATTGAATACTTGCAGTGCGAAGGGTGCGACCCACCTGTAGCCACGCTTGAACGGGAGCTCCTGCACGGCAAGGCTGACGATTCATAGGTTTGCGAGCAGCAGGTGATCCGCAGTCAATTTACTCTGCCGGTCCCTGTGCCCAACGACTAGCCTTTGCCGTGATGGGAAATTCTATTTCAGGAAACATGTCAAAAATGTGGAAGTGAAGGCTCAGGCTGATGATCTTCCACAAGCTGCCCGGCAGGCCTTCATGGCCAGATTCAGATGGGCCCTTGGTACGAGCTTCGGGCAACTTCGATGCGGGTTCTCCCCGTGAAGAAGGGTTGCGGGGTTGCTTGCACGCTCTTCCAGTTCTGAAGATTGCAAAAGCAGATGGGCATGTTTGCATGTGAAGCATGGAAGCTTCGCTTTCTAACCTCAAGCCTCAAGGATGCAGGGAAGGAGAGATCTGCTTTGCCTCTTCACAATACCTGCTCCAACCCAGATCAGCAGGACCTGACATCGACGGAACACCGTTCAAAGTTTAAAAGCTGGGAAGCTGGCTTTCGTCCCGGTGGGATCGCAGCAGTCTGTGTCTTGGGAAGGTTCCGCAGATCGTACCTGATGAGTCTTCTCCAATTCCTGCTGGGCTCGCCCAGGAAAAAACACCGGGCGCACTCGCGCAGGACACCCAAGGTGTCACCGACGAAAAGACCCCAGCCGTCGCCACCTCCGTTTGGCATGACATCCAGCAGTGAAGCTTCCAGCACGCAACGAAGATCCCTCAAACTTCCCAAGAAGCGCTCGAACAGCACCCACCTGCACCCTATGCTTCAACCAAAAGCGCTTTGCGAAAGCTTGACACCAAGAGCCTAAAGCCTGAAGCCCCAAAGGGAAAAATCAAGTCCGAAGTTAGGTAACTCGGAGCCCAGCGGACAGCTGCGACTCGGCTGCAAAGCAGAGGCCTGATGGATAGCAGATGGAGGCGGGGGGATCAAGATTTCCTTGCAGTTTGCATTGGTACTGTATAGGTCGAGCAGAGCTTGGGACCCGGATAGCTGATAGCACAGAAGGGGGTGCGGAACGGAAAGAGCCACTGCCAAAGGCTCCGAGAGCCTCAAAGACAATATGTCGTAGCATTGACATGGCAGCGAGGGAACTACACAAACTCTCACTGCCATGTGCTGCTTTCAGCAGCATCTCAAAGCTCAGCCGGCAGTCGACTTTGTTTTCTGACGCAGAGATATGCCAAAAGGAATACAGCGTAGATTAACCCAGCGTGGGAAAGTGCAGACAGGCAGAATTCAGTGCAAGAGTCCGTTTGCCATTCGGCCTGAAAGTCTTTGAAGGGCCCGAAAACAGCGAACTTCGAACCCTACAGTCCCACAAGCTGTCCATTCACGCTGATCCGACCAACCGGACTCTTCATGGTCTTTCGAATCAGCCAAAGTCCCACTGGAAACAAAAGTCATGCAGTCTTCGGTCGATCTCTGTGAAGTCAGGTATAACGAGAACGTGCTCTTTCCAATGTGAGAAGCCAGCCTTTTGGTGTCGTCTTCCACCCCGGTCCAACCTCCCGCACCTGTCCAAGATTTGATTGGAACATACACGTCGGTTGTTGCTATGAGAATGCTTCGGCTGCGCATCCTGCCGGAGCCTCTGGGAATGCTTTGGATCTTCTTGTCTGTGAAAGACTGTGTGTGTCGGCGAGCACTTTTTTAGAACTGAAGACTCCAAGAAACATGTGTCTTGCACCACCTTGCCCACCCCCAAAAGCTGGACCGACATCATTCGTCAGACTGCAGCCTACGCCCACTTTGTAGCCGACCCGCAGCTCGAAGAGCGGCCTGCTCTGAAGCTGTCAAACAGAAAAGTGCAGCGGAGTTTCCCCGTGGCCTCCGCTGTGTGTTCGCGTCGTAGACACGAATCTTACCGTCAGCGGTCCCGCACCTCCGAGGCAACAGAACACCTGCAAAGACTCGACTGCTCCGAAACCTGAGACGGCTCAGGGTCCGACGTAATCAAGGAGCGGGAGGTGCACATGGTGGTAGCCCATCCCAGGGTGCTGACTTTCACCTGGCGACTACTTGGCTCATCCGGTCCACTCGCCTACGAAATATCTGCATCACCCGCGTCACCTGCATCATCATCACTATCACCAGTAGCAGGATGTGCTGCGTTGCTCAAAAGTGCCAAGCATGCCAGCTGACCGGCACTCGAAGGCAAAGCGAGTCCCTCGGCTCTGGTATGACTTCAGGACTGCGGGTGGAAGTAGCTGGCGAATAGGAGCTCCAGAGTCTCCAGAGTGTCTACGGCAATCTGTCGGGCTTTCGCAGGCAGTTCAGGGTCCAACAGCTCCAATCCAAGTGAGCTACATGGTCTCACGTGTTGTGCCTTGCGACTTTCTCATCCTCGGATGGGTCACTCGTCTTCCGACATGTAGCGAAGCTGCTGTTTCTGGTGCAGTCTCTCAGACCATTCCTTGAACGGTTCCGCTGCAAAAGCCCGGCCTTCTAGAATGTGCAGTCGCCGAGGAGGCTGCAATCCAAAACACAACTCTTCATAACTCTTCCAAATCCCTGCACATGCCGTCGATTAGCTTGAGCTTTCTAGATTCGAGAAAGCAAGCCCAAATCCAGCCCAGTTGCTCCCGCACGTTTCTCGCAGTCCATGTGACCTGCACGCTGTACGAAATGGGTGCAGCTGATCTCATTCTCAGATATTTGAAGTAACTTTCAAATCAGCTGCTGGAGTTAGAGCCATAATTACCCGTCACACCACAACTTGCGGCATCGCATCTTCGGACCGCAGCTGCCTGGTTGATGATTCAGATGAGTAGCACTATCAACACTATTCTTTCGAAGAGGAGGCGTCTACCACCTGCGTCCACATCAAGCGCGCGGTCTGTTGAGCTGAGCAGGCCCAACATGGCCCAGCTTTGGCACACGGCTTCGAACTCCCTTAAGTCTGCTTTTGGAGGTCTCTGCAATGGCTTTCCTCTGCCACTGCGGTGTCGCCTCCTTGCGCTCGAGGTCGAAAATCTTCACATCCTCATCGCTGCAGGACTGGAGGCTTCGGGCGCTTCGGGGATCTTAGCAGAAAGTCTTCAAGCCATCTTGGCCAAGGGTGCCTCAAGAAAGGGCACCTGAATTCTGAGGTCTGACGCCTAAACTGCTGGGCGACTGATAACGCGGGCTGAAAGTCGTGGAGGACAGGGCCTAGAACGGCGAGGATCCCGACGCGCCGAGTCTCACTCAGGCATGCTACCTAGCCAACCCAAGTTTCAAGATCTCTCCCCCTTGGCGATTTTGTAGGCACCTCTTCGGGTATCTCGCTCTGGTCAATTTTGGCCATGCAGCATTTTCGAGGCCGCCGAAGGCAAATCGGGATGGCCTACACCCAGAGCAAGTTGCACAGCGAGTGTGCCCTCGACTGAACGCGCTCAAACGGTCAGCTTATTGCCGGCGTGTCTATCATACCAACAGTCGCTAGCACCGTCAGTTTCTCGGCAACCAGACGGCCGCGACTTGCCGCTCGACTAGGTGATGCCCCGCCTTGAAATTGAACTCAGCTGCCAGGAGACAACGCTGGAAAGTCGTGCTGACCATTTAGTCGTACTAGTAGGAATCTAGGTCGCAGAGAAATTATAGTTGCGCCTACATCGAAACTGGATTCCATCCAGCTAAAGCCGAGGCAGCAGACTTTGTCTAACCATGAGTTTGAACAGCAAGCCCTGCTTCGATTGCGATCCAAGCGAGATTGCGAGCATGCTGATGCGACCGCCTATTTCCATGGCCGGAGCCAATGGTGCAAACCGCCGTGGAAGCCTTGCTGGATCCACGGAGGCGTGGGCAATCGGCCCCTGTCATGCTTCGAAGCAAAGAGTTCTCAGAAGATATCTTGTTGTCACGGGTGCTGTTCGCACGGTTCCAAACTTCAGGGCAAGCTGTTGCGTCCTGTCCCTCAGATATCTCAGGTGCATGATTGCCGCCTGCAGCTGAAGTCTCTCGACCTCCGGGTCAGCGCCTGCAGCACGTGAGTGGCCGCGGATTTAGCTTGGGACTTCAAAGGGTCAAGCAAGGCTCTCGGAAATAGCATGGCGAACTGTGAACCGGGCCCTTGACAGGAGCCCTTGAGCTTACCATCGACCCTTTGTCAGGCCTGGCGGCTTTACATGCCCAAAGGTCTCGGTCCTAAACCGAGGACGCCTCCTGCAAAGCCGGACTCGTTGAAGGCCTTCGCACCGCAACATTGTGGCAAATAATTCTTCTCCCCACGACAGACTCTAGACCTTAGCAGGAGGTGCCCCTCGAACAGGTACCAAGCAGACACGACCTTCACACCACGATTGCGGCAGCATCCTCGGACCTAGATTCTAGCTTTTCTGAACGGAACCGACTTGGGATTTACACGCTCGAGCCGTAAAGCCTAGGTCCCGAATCCGACAATATCCGACATCTGACCGGCAAAGATGCCTTTCCCCACTCAGGGACGATGCTCGCTGCTCCGTCCGCTGAGATGGCCAACACCCCCGCCGAGGACACCTGGCTCTGAAACAGGTGCTGCGAGTCTCTGAGTCCCAGCTCTGACAGAAGCACCAGCACTCTCAGAGGCATAAACGCAGTGGCCCTGAAGTTTCCTGAATAGTCAGTGGGTGTGGAAACCTGTGACCGCGGATTTGTCGGCCCACTCACTGTTCTGATTTCTCCGAGTGAGATCACGATCCCGAAGCAATATGCCGTCGTTCCGCATCTCCCTCATCGGTGTTCGTGGCCCATCCTCGTCATTTAAGGCCTGGCGCTTTCATCTTCACCAATGTCTTCAGGGCCTACGATGCCACCGGCATGACCCTGCACTCAATCCCACCAGTACATATCGCAAGACCTCGCGCACCGCAAGCCCTCTGAAATCAAAACCAGCTATCAACACCAGAAGTTCAAAAAAATCCGATGTCCGAGTGCATGCAATATATATATATATACATACATACATATATTAATTTTATGAAATTATGTCAGTATGTATGTATGTATGTATGTATGTATGTATGTATGTATGGGGCTGATCGACATTATTGTTCCGATGGTTGGCCATTTAATATTTGTTGCGCTCGCCCTTGCGCACTCTTGCGTGTTTCTTGCGCACAAGCGAGCTTTTCACACGTGCATGTTGTATGATCATTGATTATGTTACATACAGACATATAGCCATGTTACTGCCCTTGTGCGCTTGCGCGTTCTTGCGCGTTCTTGCGCGCACACCATGTTTTGAAGGCAATCTCAATAGTGACTATATGAAAAAGCGCCTCTGTAAAGCAAAATCAAGAGAAGGGGGTTGAGATCAACCCTCACATACATGTGTAAGTACTACTGTCGAAAAGCCGGTACGCGCGATAGAAACGTAGGGGTGTTCACATTTCTAGCTTCTCTGCGGGGTGTGGTATGGCTGTGCCTGCAGGCACTTCACTCCTTCGGCACTGGCAGCTCTGCTGAGCGGCTGACCTCGGTCAGAGTTTGGGGTGCCCTCGGTGTCGAGTTGACAATGGGTTGGATTAGAAGTGGAGTCTGGGGTCTGGGATAATTCTTGGTTCGCGCGTCCAGATTTGAAGCTGAAGGGCTCAAAGGGGTTGTTGGCTACCTGCTGAATTATAGTTTGGCAGGGCCTAACCGTACAAGTGTGGAAAAGCGCGTGCGCGATTGTTAGAAGATCCAGCAACAGCTTCCGGCCCGCAAAGCTCTGGGATAAAGAGCACGCCGACATCCAACTGCTTGTGGCTTAAGGCTTTGACAGCGATGATGATGATGATGATGATGACGATGATGGCGATGACGATGATGGGCGGTTCTGGTGATGATGGTGACGATGATGATGATGATGATGATGCAGATGAGGATGATGATGACCGTCACCACCACAACCGTGAACACCGACCCCAGCCACGGCATGAGCACCGCCAGCATCACCGTCATCGTGGTTATCTTTCGAAAATTGCGTTATCACCATCGCCAGCACCGTATGCAAGACGGGCCATGCCTGAGAGGCTTCGAAGCTCAAGAGCTCCCGAAGCATAGGCGATAGCCACCGCGGCCTGCGTCTGCTCGGTGAAGGGATGGTCCACTGCCACTTTAGTCGCATCAGCCTAGGTAAAAAAAAACACGACCTACTAGGGACGTGTGATTTTTTGCGATACCTCAGCAAAGGGTGCATCAAGAGAAACCCATGAAATTTAGGCGTTCCCAATGTTCGGGCAAGCGCAAGACACGCATCAGTGGCATGACAACACATTGAGCCACTGATCTCCTAGCATGTGCTCGATTTCGCAAACGCATGAGCAAGAGATTTTTATGAGTACTGGTCGCAGATTAGAAACAGTATAGTCGCCGAGCACTGGCACCGCCTACCCCAGATCCAAACACCGAGCATTGACAGCAAAAGTCTCGCGGTCTCGCATGGCGTGGGATCACGAAACGTGATGCGACGAACGAGGGAGTGTCTCTGAGTCTCTGGAGGCCCTTAGGGGAGTATTCTTGGGAGGGTTCGAGCGTCGGACCGCAGCAGCTCCGGGCTTGCGGATGCCAAGCTATAGGAAGTGATCCAACTAAGACAACGTTTTTCAACTTGATCCGAGCTGAGACCTCCCGTCCATGTCTCTGCTGTTATCACATTGGCTTCATATCAGAGAACTGCCCAAGCGAATTCCCAACAGAACTGCGAAGAGGAATTAAGCAGTTCGAATCTCAAGTGAGGCCGAGAATCAGGGAAGCCATGCAGAATTTCTGGCACTTCGATAGCAACTTTGGAGGACCCTGCGTGATTTCGCCGAGGTTTTCGGAAGCTGGCGATTTCGAGGAGTTGGGGTGGTCTGCCATGACAGACAATATGAACAGGAAGGGTCACGTCCAGAATTTCTAGCTCGAGCCCCGCGATCCTGGTCCTATTCCTGAAGGCCGCAAACAACGTTGCCTCGGGGTTGTCTGCCGGTCCGACCCAACCTGAATAGCATCCAAGACTGCAACATGTCCTTGCAGCTGAAACCCAGAAAGGCTCGTCTAACTTGCCAAGTGGAGGGAGCACTTCATGGCCAAAAAGCATCGATCGACACTTTGCATTGACAACGCAGATTTGCCAGGCCGTGACACAAACTTACAAGAGCACGACTAAAGCCGGGGAGCTTTGCGATTGCACCTCCAGCCCAACCCTCCAAAGGACGTCAGACTTCCTGGCCCAATCCAATCCCAGATTTTCGCCCCTACAGCCAAACCGCCGTTGTATGCAAGATTTGGCCCAAGCCACTGCCGAAATTCATCGTCCCCTGCCAACCCTTGCCCCTGACGCACGCACCCGGATCACCCCTTATCCATGCAAAGTCGGAAACGTTTCATCCAATTCTCCTGCGCCTCAAACCTAACATGTCCCCATGCCGGGCGGACAGATCCGATGGATCGCTTCCCCGCGGCGACGCTCCCCAACACGCTCGATCTGCCAGGGCTGCCGGAGGCTTCTCGTGAGTTTAGGAAGGCTTTCGAACAAATCGGGTGGACGCATTTAATGCCCAGGGTGGCAATGCCCTCGTTGACGGTTGCGTGCTCAAAGGGCCGGAGACGTTTACATGCTTGAAACTCAGCTGTCGAGCTCCAGTATGCAAGGTATGGGTTGACAGGTCTTCCTTACTGCGGCCACGCAGGAATGATGGCCATAGGAGCCAGGTAAGTCTTGAAACTAAAAGGTCTTGAAGTCGTCCTTTGGCTTCGTCATGTCTCGCTGCATGTGGCAGAAACTTTTCACACTCGCTATCACTCGCTGTTGCCACTGTGGGTGCTATCCGCGCTGGGTCTGAGTCAGGAAAAGCTGCTTCTGCAAAACAGGAGAAGATGAGCCCTGACGCAGTCTGCCGTGTCTTGACTTCTGCGGCCACGGGTGGGTGTGCCTTCTTGCCCTCCACGCGGATGAGCTTGAGCAAGCCTGTGTCATCGCCAGTCAGGAACTTCATCTACCTGTCAGTTTGCGTACGCAGTTGCAGTCGCAGCTGCAAACAAATGTCACCGCGATTGCAGGTAGACTAATGCTTGGTTCTGCGGCCTTTCGGGCACAGGATGGAACAAGATTCTCGGGGAGACATAGACTTGTCTAGGAGCATGTCGCCTGCACGAGTGGTGTCAATCCTGCCATCGCGGCAGCATGGCCCGACAGGGAACACTGTTGTAGCAAATCTGTATCTGACACTGCAGCTTGCTGCAAAGCCAGCACGGTAACCACTGCCCAGCGACCATTGTTCTTATATGTAGTAGCCGCAATATTCAACCTAAGGAACAACACGAGTCTCCAATAATTGTGAATATGTACCTGCGTAAGCTCCACTGCTGGAATTGCAGCCACGATGGTTCAGCCAATTCACTCGAAAGCGAGCTTTCCCTTGATCCAGGGTCCAGGCAGGGTGCAACAGTGCAACAATGCAGTCAACAGGAGCAAGATTGCACGAGGCATCAACCCCGCACATAAAAAGACAGAGTCAGGGAGCAGGACGGCATGTGGTCTAAGCAGTCTTACTGTCCACTCGTTTGTAATCAGGAGATGTCCAACTTTCTTTGCCGAAGCTCTGATTTGTGCTTCAAGTCAGTCTTCAAGTCTCTGGGTTGCGATTGCTGCTTTTTCCGTGGGTAGCCAAGAGCCGCTCGCAGGTGCTCGGCCGGGCTGCTTAAAGTAAAGCCTTTACTCTGGCTGAGCCTTCCGTGATGTGGTGTGCAGTCTCGAGTACTCGGGTGTCAGGAACTGGACCTGTCTGTGGTGCTGTGGACCTTACAAGGTCGTCTGGAACTAGCTCAAGTCTCAAGTTCTGGATTTGGACTAAGTACGTGCTGGGACCAGGGAAATAACCATGGACTGGCCTCTTTGTGTGGCTCTGTCGCTCAGCGGGCTGTGTCAAGGTGCTGGAAAAGCCCTTGCTGTACTGGATCCGAGCGACTCCCAGGGTTTCAAACTTCCTGAATGAGCTCTGGATGCAAAAGCTCCGGTCCAAAAAGAAGCCGCTCTAATCCCGCTTTCTAACATGCACCGCAGAAAGGATTTTTATGATATGACGTCTGCTACGGGTCCATCCCTAAATCTGCAAGAGGCTAAGATTTTGGTCTCTCATAAACGATACAGGAACCCTCGGAAAACGAGCTATAGGATGCTTTGTGTCGACGCCACAAATCACCGGCATTTCGGCAAGACAGGGAGAAAAGTCTTCACGTAAGCCCGGTGCCAAACGCAGCGGGATGCGTCTTCTCATGGGCCATCTGCGTATGTTTGAAAATGGAACGGCGCTTCGCCGAAAATTGCGAGGCCGGAAACCAAGCTATTTACATCCCGTCACCATGGGTTCGGTTTGGATAGTGGGTACAGGGTTGATTTCTGTTTTCAAAGCCATACAGTGCTGTCTGAAGCTGCCAAGGACTTTCCGACACAGTCGATAAAACTTGACAATGACAAGTCCAGCTGTCTGCTTCAGTCGGCAAGCCTGCACACATGCATGCATTATATGGTTTGTGGGCCATCAGGGTACCCTACTAAACCTTCAATGGACAGGTACAAGGAACACTGGCAAGGGATAGGTGTCCCGTGTCTGACTGGCTTTCTGCTTTACGAGTTTGCACCATCATAACCCTTTCGGATAGAGAAGAGCAGAATTCCGACGTAGGCCTTCATTACTGCAAGCGCAGCCACGGCAGGAATGCAGCCAAGAAGCATGGTCTTCAAAGGCTCTGCTACCACGAAGTCGAAGCCTGTTGCCTCCTTGACGGCATCGACGGTGGTGTCTGCACATGGAAAAGCGGCCAAAAGGACAAGTCTCTTGAGTCCTTAAGTGCAGAACAGATCTTCTACGCGCATCCGGCGATCTTCCTAGATGCTCTCGGCCTGGCGCGATCTCTGCCAAAGTTGGAGGCACCTCCGAGAACGGCAACTGTTCAGGGATCCCTAAAGTCAGTCGAAGCGGACTCAGACCTGTTGCGGGTTCTGGTATGTCACATAGGTCTCCTCCAGTGAGTGTCAGCTTCGTCCGAAGTGTTGCCCGATCCCTGGAGGCATCCTAAAGATCTAAACGAGCTACCAGCTTCTACTTGCCTGCTCTTCATTTAGCAGGAAAATTTCGACTCAATTTGCCAAGCGCCACAAACATCCCCACGGTATGGTGATGGCTTCGCTGCAGCAGCACTCTTGCACAGCCGACGTTGCCAAGGCAACGTCGAATGCATCTACGCAACCCACACGCGGTGGTTTCATGTCGCTGCGGTCAATACTTGACCGGACACCATGCACTGCCGTCAGCTAAAGTGATTCCAAGGGCCCTCCAAGATAATGAATGTGTAGTTTCAAGCTGTGCCAGGAATGCACACCACCTCAGCCGCTGAACTGACTACGATCCTGGTGCCCGAGATGCACCTCAGCTCCCTCGGTGGCGAAATCGAAGACGGCAAGGTCGGTGATGCAGCGATCTACGACCTTCGTCCCGAAAGTTTCACTCTATTCCCGTCGACTTCCTGTAAAGAGGTAACTGCCGGGCATTGATCTTAGATTCTGAGTCTCCGGACTCTTTTGCCGGTAAGTGGCAAATCACAGCCTCAGCTAGAGCAATCCTTTCTTCAGCATGACCGCGCATTCGAGAGGCATGATTCCAAGCTTCAATATCGATGTAACGAACCATTGAGTAGTCAGAAAATGAGACCGTCTGCAACCCGGCTTTGGCCCGCGGCTAACGACGACAGCTCCTCCATCTTAAGATCCGAACTCTTTTTCAGCTTGTGCTTGTTGCCCTTCGCCACATGCTCCATGACCTGGGTTTCAGAGGCTTTGGCATGTCTAGAAGTGATCCGAAAGCCCTCGAAAAGAAGATCTATCGGGCTCTGGATATAGGGCGGGTACAATCCCCCTATCTTTGGCCCACAAAGAGCTGCTTGGCGTGGAAGTGTCGATACACGTGGAGTCACAATCGGAATTTGCTATCAATCCAGGGAGGGTGGAGTTTGGGAGGATTCCACGCCCCTTACAGCTTTCATCATGAGCCTGCTGACAGTCTTCAGGACCGACAAAGCTCACAAAGCGCCGTCTGGGCAATGAGTCTAACCTCCGAGCTGTGGGCGACGAGCACCTTCGAGTTGGAGGACACGAGGTCCATGGCTCCTCCCATGCCCTGCACTGTGCGATCAGGTCGCGAGCGGCTGGCTCTACTTCTCACAAGCCTTCCCTTTCTGTGGCATGCCAGTCACACCCAAACCAACAAGTCAACTCTGCCAGCAGAACGCTGAGCTTCCTGAAGTTGCTTGGAGAGAGCAATCGTCAACCGCTTTCATAGCTGTAATTTATCTACGAACAGCCGCGAGTGGTCATGGTTCATTTGTCGAAGCGGCAAGGTCAAAGGACAGTAACATGGAGCGGCTTTTGTGCAGGACCATTGCCACCAAAAGGCAAGCAATGCAAGCAATGTGATGAGTGCCCTATTTCACCTTCCACGAGCAGCCAGAAGGCACGAAACCAAAAACAGTCTACCAGTAGAGGTCGACACGCGGAACAGTTTGAAGACTCCGCCTTGACCATCTTCCCAGGAATGATCCAGTTGGCAAGGTCCCCGTTTGCAGCCACCTCCGGGGGACTTCGCATCGTTCGTGGGTGCCCCTACCAAAAGTGATTTTATCTTGGAGAACCAAGCACATGACATTGCTGCTGCTGCTGCTACTACGACGACGACTACTACTGCTACTACGACTACTACTACTACTACTCCATTTTGGTAAGACTCGCAACGCTCTCTGTTCTGACTCCACTGGTAGATGAAAGATCTGAATCTGCCATGCATCACCATCATCATCACAGTCATCACCATCCTCCTCATCATCACCATCATCATGATTCTAATCATCATGACTCTAATCATCGCAGTTGCCACCATACCGACATCGTAATCATAATATCAGCAGCATTTCACATCACCATCATGGCCTTTGCCATTGCCGAAGTTGTCATCATCATCGTCACCGACAACACTAACAACAATACCATCATCGGTAGAAGCAGTGCCAGCACAACTTCTGCTTCGAGTGCGATCAATATAATGCCTAGCAGCTTCCAGCCATGGCCACGACCAGTGCTGCTGTCACTGTGACTACTCCTGCCTTGACAGAATTCGATGCCACACAACACGACAACTAGACCGTCCGTGGTTACCCTTACCAAGCGAAAATCGCGACCACAGGAGAAGTAGGAAGGCAATCAAAGCGTTGATTTGGCCGTTCTTGCTGCAGCTGCTGCTGCTGCCGCCGCTGCCGTTGTCATTCTTCATGCTGCCAGTCTTACCAGCATCGTCATCGTCATCGCAAGCCTCCTCCTCCTCCTCCTCCTCCTCCTGCTCGTCGTTATCATCACCATCACCTCCAAAATCATCATCAGCATCAGCACCATGATCGTCGTCGCTGGATCGCCCTCGTCACGAAGTCATGAGCACCATCATCGTCGTCTGAAATAGCATTCAGTACTAGCCCTTTGTGCAGCGACAGCATGGGGAAGTCGGCGAGCAGGGTGTGCTGTCACCAAAAAGCCTCCATGGCCCCCAGGATCGTCACGTCCACTTTGGACCTCTGCAAGGAATCTGCAGCGCCATGGATTTTACAATCTGGGAATTAAAAGGCAAAGGCCTCTGAGAGGCCGCGCCCGCACCCCACCAAGAGCCTGGCCCTCGGATCATGCCGAAGGACTCCGAGGAGGAGAAGAGCGAAGAGCCAGGAATCATGGTGACCGTCTCCTCTTCAGAAGAGCTCTTCGTGACCGAGTTCGGGGAGGGTCTTCTTTGTTGCGGAGTGGGGGGCCAAGAAGGAGTCCGGAAAACCCTGAGCTTGCCTTTCCCGCATTAATGAGGTCGGGATCGACCTGCCCAGCCGACTCAGGAGTTGGGTGTGAGCTCCAAGGGGTTATATGAGTTTGGGGTTAGAGATTTTGTTGCTTTATGGATGGGTTGAGGATGTTGGACTGACTGCATTGCAAGCTGCCGGGGCAGAGGCACCTTAAGATTGTTTCAGAGTATCACTGTCTGGGGTCCCTGTACGCTTGGGGCCTGAAGCGCTTCGTCCGTATAAAAGTCCTGGTCGGGATTCGCGGGGCGCAGATCAAAGTCAAGAATGGTTCAGCTCTTTTGGGCTCAGCTTCGGATGTCGAAAACTCACATCATCTCGCGTCTAGGATGCAGTTGCGGAAGCCTAGCCGCTGTCTGATGGCTCTGAGAGCCGGTGCTGTGGTATTAAAGCCACCCTTGCGCAGCTCGTGAAACGAGAACGTTAACGCGATCTCTGCAGGGCTGCCTGCCTCTCCCTCTGTCGGATACGGCCCGATTCCGAGGAGCCCATTCTCGCTTTGGAGTTCAATGCGCACCTGGGTCGCAGCGTGTATGGGTCAGACTGAGGACAGCGAGAGCCTAGTTCTCACATTTAAGGAAGGAGGGAGAGAGAGAGAGAGAGAGAGAAAGACATAGCGAGAGATAAAGAGTCAGAGAGCGGCGAGGCCGAGCGACCACACTTGCACAATCATGCTCACGAACATACATACAGGCTGGCAGACACACGCACAAACAAAAGCATCTTTCAGTACAAAACCCTGACTCATGCCCGCTCGCACTTGGTCTCCATCTTAAACACACTTTGTCGCAGGCCTGCTTACACTCTCTTTGACATTTGCGCGGTGCCACTCAGCGCTTACTCACCGAGGTGGGCACCCCCGGCTCGAGGTAGTTGCTCACGAGCCTGGTCTCAGAACTCGGAGTTTGGGTCAGGATCTTGAGAGCCCTCTCTCCTTGCTTCAAGACTCCGTGCCTTCCGCTGACAAAGTCTTGCTTCAGGTAGTAACCAGGTAGTATAGGTCCCAGGAGAGTCTTTGGCCGCCGATTCAAGATTTGGGCTGGCTTCGAGGTGAGTCGGCTCGAGCTTAAAGGATGTGCTGGCGAATTTCTGAAGACTTCGAACTGGCCCAGTAAACGACCAAAGCTCGAGCAATCCAGAGATTCTTGTCTGTTGTTGGCAACGGAAAAGTTTAGGGACTCCATGGGAATATCGCTTGCTACCCTTGCAGGTTCTGAGTTCTCGGCGTTGGCATCCCAATTCCGAGATTGACGTACATGCCGTCCGACAGCTCTTTGGCTGCTCGCCTTACATGTTGGACAGACATGGTTTCCGATCGAAGCAGAGAAGGGCTCGAACCAACTGGTAGCACAACCTTTCGCATGCTTCACATCGACGAGCCTGTACAGCACATCTAATGCTGCTCCTGGCCTGATGATGAGCTCTCTTCGCTTGTCTACCTGCAGCAGACAGCGTGCCAGCGGTCTCTGGTTTCAGTCCTGCTCAGCTCAAGCATGCATCTGCTCCAGAACAGTAATGGATCGTCAACAAGAGCGGGATGATGATGAATCTGCCGAACTGAACACTGGCGCACCAGACCATCGAAGAATGCTCCCTGACAAACGGCCTCGCATAGACTCGGACTACACAAGGGTGGTGGGTCTGTCCAGCGCCCGGAGAATTGCAAACCCAAAATATCCGACAGAGACGCCCGACTCTGATCGGAGGGATGCTGCAGTTTGTTGCCGCAGGAGACATCATTCGCAGCTCTTCAGCAGCATTTCATTGTCGATGTCACCAACATCACTTCGCACCATATCTGATGCACATTGACAGAAATGGCGGGTTTCTAGCCAGGCAGGCCTTGATGTCGCCTCCGGAGGAGATCGTTCTCTTCTCTATCCGCTTCTGGTAGCCCTGCGTGCAGATTTGAGGTGTGGCCGGCAACGTGTGGGTGTACATCGACGTAAGTAGATCTGACAACTCTATGTGTCTGAACCCCTCGCACACCACAGAAAAGGCATGCTGTCGAGGCATCGGCTGCAGCAAGGACTACGGGGCCCTGAACAAAAAAGTGTTCACTCGCCGGATTGCAGACACTGGCGTCTGCTGTATAGGCTATATAGAGTTCCATTGTGGCACACTATGCAAATGACTGCCGTACGCACTTACAACGAAGAGTCGCTCCTCGCCCTGCACTACTCGGTGCACATAGATGCCAGGGAGGTGAATCTCCTGAAGGCTCCAAGGATTCAAGACCGAGTCCCCGACTTACGGCTTCAGGGCTGCCATGAATTGCTGAACAACTCGGTGAGTTATGTCCGGTGTTGCGGAAAGGCGTAGACTGCTGCAGCACCTATTCCTGGAGCTGCATACCCGTGTCCTCAGGGCTAAGGGCGCCCACAGGCACGATCTCCTCCACTTCGGCGATGCAGACCTGTCGGGCTGTGGTTGAGGGCTAAGCCTGCCGAGGCTCTGCACTGAGCAGCGCTGGAAATTGCCCCGCCCACGGAAACTCTCAGGCTAAAACCAAAGACTTTACACCTACTCCACCAGCTCACGTCAGTAGGTCTCGGCCTTGCCCGCTCGGGCGCAGTCTGGATTGAAATTCCTCGGCCAGAGACGAATACAGCAGCTTCGAGTTGTTGGCTTGTGTAGACACTTCTATTTTGCCTGACTTTGCTGATGCATCCCAGACTGGTCCCGGAGCCTCCTTGGCCTGTGACATCTGTCCTTAGAACCACCCTTGTGGCCGCAATTTCGCCAGAGCGTCGTTTTGCTTTCTTTGGCACCGCTCTCTCCGAGCAGCAAGTTAGAACCAGAAACGTCGCCAAAAAAGCTAGAACCATGCTACTTCAACAGCTGCGTTTTATGGGTTTTTGGAGCTTTTTCAGATCTTTTGATACATTTTACAGCTGGCTGCCCCGACGGCGGGAAAGTTAGAACTCACCCCGTACTGCCCCGTATAGGCAGTATACTAGTATACCACACCCGTACCGCCCCGTACCAGCCCGCCCGTACCACCCGTAGATTGTACCGCGCCGTACCCTATACAGCCCACACCCCTACATCTGGTGGGGTGTTTATAGAGCTTCTCAATGATTTTGACAGTTTTACAAGCGGCGCCCACCCGGTCCCGCCCAGCATCACCCCATGTACCGCCCTGTCCGGCGGGGGGGCTCTAACTTGCTCCCCGTAAGTCCGCTCCACCGTGCCCGTGTTAGTTTTACAGCTGCACATGCAGCAAAAAGATTGAACCCACCCTGCAGGGCCCCCTGCCGCCCGCCTCTACCGCCAAGTACAGTATGTACAGTGGAGAGCAGCACAGAGCAGCCAGGGACCGGCGGTACAGCTCCGTGCGTCTTGAGGGCCGGGTTTGCAGTAGCTTGGGGGGGGGGGCGGGGCATGGCACGGGGCGGTATTGTTGGGCAGTACGGGGCGGTGTGGGGTTACAGGCGAGGCGGTGCGCGGTGCGGCGCAGCGTTACTAGGCGGTCTGGGGCGGTACAAGATGTACTGTACGGCCGGCATGGGCCAGTGCGGGGCAGCCGGTTGGTGTGGTACTAACTTTCCCGCCGTCGGGGCAGCCAGCTGGAAAATCATTGAAATTACCTGGAAAATCACTATCATTCCCCATCTAACTTAGCTGTTGAAGTAGCAGGTTCTAACTTCCCGGGCATAAGCGGCAAATCAGGTTCTAACTTCGCGCTCGAAAATTCCGGCGAAGGACTGGCGCCCGAGTGTTGGTGCATGCCGTCCCGGAGTGTAGTCACTTGCCCCCGCTGGGCTTGTCAGCCTCACCCCGGCTCTGCGCGCTGTGGAGTCATCCCGTCCCTCCGCCCATCAGCAGAGAAGGTCACACTGTGCCAAGGAGCTGCAGAAAGTCGAGAAGGCTTGCGCCACTGCTAGGCAAGGTGTCGTCGGCCACGCAGTCTCTGAGTCTAAGGGAAGAGTCGATTTCATGACAGGTTTCTGCATTCCTCGATATGAGGGCCGCGATTCCAGTGTTGGCTCGTGGGACATACCACTTCCAAATACGATAACATATGAAAACGAATGATGCGTAGCACTCCTAGCCCGGGCCTCAAGAAGGAGGGATGAAGATAATTCATCGACTTACAGTAGCACATGCCTTGCAGCTCAGTTTCCGGGCTGTGCCTTTCCAAACCAGGTTTCCACGCTCGTCGGCCTGCATGTGACCGAAAAATGTCGCAAAAGTCTCTCGGCCACTACCCAGCTGCAATGCTTTAACTGTTTACGGTCTGTAAGGACTCAAGAAGATACCTCGTCACCATTGTCTTGCGCTGGCACCAGATATCAGCTTTGTGCTAACACAACCACTTGCGTGGCTGGGATATGTTGCCAGGAGCCTATCACCAGGTGGGAGTTCGATGGCTCCGGCTGAAAAGTTAGCATCGAAGGGAATCGAAACTTCCATCACGCCTTCCAGGCTTTGACGATTGAAAAGTCTCCGACGATGGCGCGTTCCATCACGTAGCCTGTCTCAATGTTCGGGTCCCAGGTGCAAGACTATTTAAACCGTCATGCACAGGACATGAACACCGTAGTTACAGAGACAGTCAACCGATCCCTAACGACTTGCTGCTTTTGGACATGCGGACAGAAATTTCAACCCAACCACACCCTCATCCGGATGTCCTTTGCCGTCGAAATCGCGGGCTTCCCTCGGCTCGCTCATGATTTCAACGGTGCCAGCCTTCCGGGCGGTGTGTTGTCTAAATGCTTCTAGATTCACATACATACAGTTGCATGTATACATCCACATGAAACTTCCGAATACTGCAAGTGCTATAACAGATCAGTGAACGGCAGCCCAGCACAGATGTGCTGGCTTACGGCATTTGCCAGCGTTCAAGCGACGGTACTCCCAGTCTTCTAGCTCGCTTGGACGGGCTGTGCACGGCGACGATAGACGGAACCACTCCTTCCGCTGCCTTGGCACCGCCTGGGCCGTACTTGATCACGTTGCTTCCCTCGTGAACTGCTGTGCCGAAAGCCTGGCACAGATTGCTGGTCGGCCGGAAACTTCGAAGAACCCTCACCGAATTTTGTATACATACACCGATAACAAGTTGTCTGACGGCTTGGAAACTCGATGCCATCTCCTTTGCTGTTCAAGCCAATGCACGCCAGACCATGATACCGGAACTTCCAAGCCCGGTAACTGCGACTCAGCGAAGGATACTTTCAATGCTCTAAGACCTGAGTCGCAAGGCAAGCCGGACAGCAATTCGTTGTATCTGAGGTGCGTGCAGTCCGAGTGAAGAAGGCGGGGATGCCAGCACCACCTTCCACGCGTCACATGCATGCCTTGTGTGACTAAGTTGGACGTCGGGCTTCAGCTTAGATTAGAGTGTGGCTTGACTCAGTTTGCATTGCGGTTTTGCAGCTTTGATTTGATAATCCACTTCTTGGCTCCGGCATGTCCATGCATGTTCAATAAGACCAAATTTTGCTGCTATGCCCTTGTGGATCAAGTTTGTCCACAAAGGAGCTGAGACCTGTGGGCTCCTGTCCCGGATAGCTGTCAAAGCGGGTTTCACAGGTTGCGGAACTTGGTGGCAACTGCCACTTAGACTTTGTCTCCCGCGATCGAACTTAGGTGGAGGAGTGAAAAGATCGTTAAGTTCAGACGCCGATCCAACAGGCCCAAACGACAAACTTAGCCAACGAACACAGGATTTGCAGAAACTCTACCGAGACGTTGTTTAGAAACATGCGCACAGCGCACAAGGGCAAGGCCTGCGCGGAGGCGCTCCGCTAAGGTGCCCTGGGCTGAAGCTGAGGGGAGGCTTGCCGGAAGTTTGGGGCTGTGCTTGGAGGATGGCATGGACCTTTTGCGTCTATGTCCGGACCCCGGTAGCAAAGGACACTTCCTGTGCTCAGGCTCCACATCCCGCGCCAGCTCAAACACACGCAATCTGTGCAGCTTCCTTAGAGGCCACCAGGAAAACGGGTTCCCCACACCATGTTACCCGGCCTGTGGTGTCAGCTCGACCTCCAGCTGCCCGGAAAGGTACAACTCCTGGCAGGCGAAGGGGAAAAAGTGAACGGGGAAAAAGTGAACGGACAGCGTTACCCCAACTGAGCTGTTAGTGAAACATCCTGATACCATAAGCCCACGCAGCTCCTCGAAGAGCTTGTTCTCGCCAACATACGAGGAGATCATGCGCTTGATCTGCCTGGCAGCATCAGGTACACTCCAGGTCTCAAGTTGTACAAAAACCTTTGCGGATGCGAAAGCCCAAGGAACATGTAGACCCGCACTTGGCGTAAACAGGCACCGAACCAGTAAGCCTCGACTGCAGTAGAAGGCCCAAGCCGAAATCATCAACACCGGCGTTGTTGGACACTGCCTGGGAAAGGCTTGGGGCGTCTTGCCTTCATTCCGTGAACTGAGAACATCGCTTCATTGCGGAGGGGCCATGATCGCACCATGGCTGCCCCCCAACACCACACAAGCCAGTCGGCACTAGACACACCTGCCTTTCTTGTCCCAAGATGCACTGCATGTCAAATCTGCTTTGCGCAGGATGGACGAAGGCGCAGAGGGAAGGCTGCAGTAGTTGATAAGGAACTCGTAGCATTTCCGGCTTCTGAGATGCAGACAGTCAAGTCTTTGACGCCCTGCACGTGACAGGTCCAATGGCTGCAGTGCAAGTTGCAAGATAAAACTCAGAGAGCTACGGCCAATGGAAGAACGGCCACTCGAACCTAAGCTCACGAAGAGATCTGTAACACCCACAAATTTGCATGACCACACATCAGACATGTATCCACCTCTCCTCAACATGCATTACCCGCGCTTTCATTCAGATCCTACTCTATGACTTCTTGAACTAAGCCCTTCTAAAAGGTGGGGCCAATCATCCAACCAATAATTCTTGCGAGCTTGCTTTGCGACTGCCTCGTGCCCGGCGTCAAACCCAAGTGCTATCAAATACCAACATCCGCAACAGTAAGGTAACGCTTTTGATAAAGCTCCTAGTCCTAGATGCACCGACAGGCCTTCTTCTTCAGTGCATCGAGGAGGTTCTCTGGGATTCCACAGAGGCCGAAGCCGCCTCAAAGAGTCGCAAAGCGAGTTTTTCCAGGTTTTTTTAGCTCGTACCACCAGTCGCTGCTCTCTGCATCTTGGGAGTGCGTCAGGTAAAGGTCTGAGGAATGGAGTGCTTCGACACCTACGGATCCCAGGTCATGCTTCCAAACTTCTGCCTGAAACAAATCCCTGGGCTCCGTCCACAAAACCACACACACAAGTTCGATCGACTTTTGTGTCCTCGCCCCGTCTGGAAGATTGATGAAAAGGACAGGACACGACAACACGACTAAGCTGGCCAAAGTTCCTATTCTGGTGGTAGCGTTGGGAGATAGCCTGATCGTCGAATTAAACTCTGCAGCTGGTGCTTCTGTAATTGCAGATGAAGGGGGTCAGTGAGGCTGGCGTCTGTGTATTCCCCTCCACTCTGCCACCCGAGGACCGACACAAAGTGTGGCCCCATCTCGGATATCTCGGATGGCTTCGTCGGGAGAGCTGACAACCTGAAACAGGTCGTACATCTGACATCACATTTCTGTGCGTTGTCGAAGTCAAGTTGAACTCACGAAGCTGCCGGCTAAATCTACAAACACATGATTGAGTGAAACGCCGTGGGGAGGTAGGATCTGAAGGCCGTGGGACGACTTATGTTTTGCGTGCCACAACCCCCATCGTACCTGCAGGCCTGAAGCCCTGAAGCCCTGCATTTCGTGAAAGCCGTTTGCCTTGCTCGAGCTTGAGAAGGTGCGCCTGAGACCTTGCACGAGAGGGACACGTCACAAACCGCGATCTTTTGTAGAATGCAACTTTGAACGGAGGTTTCCCTTGTCGGGGTTTTGGAGCCTGGAGGGCCCAGACCTAGAGATTCCCGGCAGTCAGATGAAATCATGCTTTCCTTTTCTGCCCAAGTGGCTCCCTGCTGCCAGTGCCCGAGCAAGGCGGGAGGATCTGGCCTTCGGAGCCGCGGGTTCGAGGAGTCTCGGCTTCTCTGACAATATTGGTTGGATAATGAGGGGCAGGGGCTGCCCTCAAGATGACCCCCAACCCCCACCCCACTGGGCGTTGGCCTTCCATCCCTGTCGCACTGCATTTCTGAGCTGGTCTGGGAATGCAAAGGGAGGGCGGGGGGGCGCTGCAAGTCGCTGTGGTCCGAGGGACTCCTACGTCGCTTGCACCACGCAGGTACAGTAACTCTTGTAGGAGCAGGAGCCAGATCTGGGCGTCCGGCAACCTGGTTCAACATCCGCATCGCTGCTGCGGGAAGTGCTCTGAAGCAAAACGGCTGCATCATGAAGTTAGGGCTTGAGGAGGCGGATGCGAACCCAGGCACAACAAACATGGCCCTGTGCGCCTTCAGACATGACGACGCAGAGCATATTCCGCGTCATACGATCACAAGAGCCACGTAAGATGTTGCAAATGGCAGGTTTTCCCCCGCTGCTTCGCTTCACTGTACCCGCAGCCGGAACCAACTCCTGCAAATGACATCGAAATCCAGACCGCTCCTTCCACCCGCCCCACCATGCCCAAAAGCATGCAGCCAACTGCACCGTCGCTACCATGGTTTTCAATGCATAGAGACATGCAGTTGCACCTAACGCTTAGCACGGTGTAGACGTGCAAATTTTCAACACTCCTCAGCGCAGCAGTGGTATCGCAACCGCCACGATCAGCACAGCAATCCCGACACCTGGGTAGTCTCCGCTCGATTGCGTGTTGCTGGGCACCGCCTGATTCCTTGTACCAACTGATCACATACACATTTCGAGAGAACAGCGTCGCCTATTCACCCAGGTGGTGAACTCTGCTTCTGCCGACCCCTAACCTGATTGTCACTTCGATGAAAACCCTAGATTCGAATGGCACCATCTCCGAGAGTTACAACAACGCAGTCCGTACTACGTTGTACCCTGTGTGGATCGAGCCCAAGCGGACTTAGCACCAGGCATGCTGCAATGGGTCCCTTGCGTGGACCGGGATCCTGCCAGGAAGAGGAACTCAAAATGGATCAAACTTGGTGTCGGTCGTGGCTCGCTTCGTTGCTGAGGTGTCATTATACTGCTCTGCTTCGCTGAAGCAACCCTGTCACAAAACTTCATGGTTGCTGCATGTTGCACACTGGCCCAACGTCTTCAAACTGCGGTCTCTAAGCTCTTAAACTCCTGCTTTGGAAGGGTCAGTCAAGATCTCCTGCGTGTCCTCGGTTGGGTTGGAAGCATCCTTTGGCTTCACATCTGCAGGTTCGGGTCCTGGCAGGGCCGTCACGGAAGCCCTGCGACTCGTCGCGTTCACGCCGCGGCCACAGTACGGACGACCGTCAAGTCTAGATATCCTCTAAGCGCTCCCTTCATGGTCGGATGTCATGCTCACCCTCGTGGAGGCTGCTATGATGGCCTCTGAGATCAGATGCCTGGATCCTGTGTCGGTGCATTCAACTGAAAAATTATGTTTATCCCGGCCGTCCATAGGTGCCCGGATGCTTGGCGGTGAAAATTTTCTGCTCATCCAGATGATCAGGCGCCTGTGTGACGGCAAAATGAGCGAGATTTGGCTGTCTTTGGTTCGTCTTGAAAGAAGCAAAAGCTGCAAGCGGAGGTCAAGGTCTCGGCCTACAGCCGGGCTGAGTGATTGCGAGCTCTGTCTGCAAAAAGCTGGCATGCTGGATTGACCACGGAAGACTATCTAAGACTTAAGAAATGCTTCTAATCGCAGGCTCAGCAGGCAGAGATCCTGAATTCCCCTGAGCAAATGATCATGCCTGCTCCCATCACAGTTGGAGAAAGCCATCTCTCTAAAATTCACTATCACGACCATTCTGAAGTGCCGTAGGGCCTGCTCGAGCATATCTGGTTGTGCACCTTGGAGGAACCATGAGCAATGCTAAAACTTCAGCGTTTCAGCAAGAGTTGGGGTTGACAGAACCCTGTTTCGTTGTCGTTGAGCCTCTGCTCACCTCGGTCAGTCCAACCCGGAGCCAGTTTCAGCGAGAGCTTCTGCAATAAAGTTGGAGTGCACGAGGCCCATTTAATGTGAGTCGTTTGAAATCAGTGTTGAAAAAACTAACTACAAAGCATCCGGCTTTCCAGCCACCAAAAATCGAAGCCGCAGTAGCATCACAACCCCAGGGTCGATGAATGCTGACTGAGGAACCAAGGAAGAAGCCAAGTCGTTCTCGCCCCTCTGCATGCTCCTTACAAGCACAACTGGCTGGCTGATCTGTACAGGATGCGATGCAACTCGCGTCTGCAGCTTAATGCTAGACATGATTTACTGCCTTGTTGCTACTCGGATGTGGCTGCGGGTGGTTCTGTGCAGCCATGCCCGGCCTCATCTTTCATGCAATAATCTCCAAACCACAGCGGCAGCCTGGTGTCCATCGGCATACCACGATGATTCAAAAGAGGGCACAGCAGATGCAAGCAAGCACAAAACCCGCATCGGCTTGCAGCCATCTTCGAAGTCACGAGGCTTGAAATTCATTTAGCGACGTGGCCAGCGGCAGGACAAAAGTGTGACGATTAGGCAAGTCTACTTGGAAGGAATGAGGGCCGGGCACCAAGGTGCAATTCCGACTCAGCTCTCAGCACGTGCCAGCAGAACCGGACCACAATCAATGACATCCACACTTGGAACTTCGAGCACCCTTGGAGACACGCATTGTGGGCACGCGATATTACAGAAACAAAATCAAAGAGCATGACCTTGCCAGTCTTGACTGGCTCTCAAGAAGGCTACGACCCAGGGGAACAGAAGCGCGCTTTCATCCCCCCCACGAGCTATTGGTCCGGGACCCGAGCTCGAGGTCCTGCAACAGACGCGGGCAGGTGGAGTCAACTAATGCACGTTGTTCCAGAACGATGCCGTGGCCACGGCTCACTATACGGCCTCAAATTTGCATCGACCTTTCCAAAACTCATCACACCTCAAAAGCCACAACCTCCAACACAGAAGCTAAGAGAGTCTCCTGCGGCATGTGGAAGCTGCGCCAGGGCAGGTCTAACCTCTTTCCACAGGACTCGCCTCACGGCACTGGACTGCACTTCATACACTCAAAATAGTAGCTGATGATATCCGTATGCCACATGCATACTCCATCAGAAAATGCAATTGCCTATGAAGATAACGGTGACAACGAAGGCGAGGATTCCTGCTCCTCATCCTACCACAACGAGTTCTTGTTATGCTACTGATCATGTCACCCCACCCCACCCCACCCCACCCCCACCGTCACCCCACCCGCTATGACTACGACTACTACGACTACGACGGCTACGACGATGCCGACTACTGTACTACCACGATGACTACTGCTACTGC